AAAAAAAAAAAAAAAAAAATCCAGGCACTTATATCCAACAATATAATATCAGGAACACATTCTTTGCAAGAGCACACAGAACATTCACCAAGACTATATTCTGGGTCATAAAAACCTTAATGAATGTAAAAGAACTGAAATCTTACAAAGTCTGTTCTCAGATCATAATAAAATTAAGTTAGAAACCAACAATAGAAAAATAATATTTTTAAATGCTTGAGAATTAGCATACGTCTAAATAATCCACAGGTCAAAGAATCTCAAAAGAAATTAGAAAACATTCTGGACTGAATGAAAATGAAAATAGACCATAACCAAATTTATGGGCTGCAGCTTAAGCAATGTTAGTGGGAAATTTTTAGCACAACATACTTATATTAGAAAAAATAAAGTAGATGTAAAGTCAAATATATAAGGTACTTTACAAGAAATAAGAAAAAATTGCAGAACCTATTACTGACCAGTATTTTGGGAAATTTTTGTGCCATTAATACTTTAGAATAAATGCTTTCATTACTAAGGCTCCACATAATATGTATACCAACCTACAACAGAAACAGGCTTTTAAAATTAATTCTTGTTTTCCCCCATTTTGAGGGGAAAATAACACGATGCAAATACACTCTATAATAATTCTATTTAATTCTCCCTTCAAAGGCCTTTCTTCCCCAATTCTTCCTTCTGGTTGAGACATCAACTGTAGGTACAACAGAGGTTTTTTTAAGATATATGTTAAGGAATTGAGTTAAAGAAAAGGCAGGCTCCTGGCTGGATGGAAGAGAAAACTAATGAGGACTTACAGGCCTCTCCTCAGTCTTCTGCCTCTGATCCACTTTCACCAGCCCTGGATCACAGGGGCTGTGGAACAAACCCACTGGTCCCCTAGTACGTCTCAAGCACGTGGACATTCAAAGTCAGGCTAATCTTATAGCAGGTACCTAGAATCCCTCTCCTGATTCAAAGACGCTTTTATGCTCAAATATGAAACTTGGGAAGAAAGGAAATCCTGAGAATATTACCTTCCAATCAATTGCAACTAACTCCCTTCCTTTACTCTGTCAAGATTTATGTGACCTCACTGAAAAAGTTCTATATCAGAAAGAAGGTAATTTTTTAAATGTTGCAAGATTTGTAAACTAATACATTGCAGCTGACTCTTGTTTAACACTGATGCATCCCTATGCAGTGGCAATGAGGGAGAGAAAGGGTTAATAAAAACAGGATTGAAAATTGCTGTGAACAAAGTAACTGCTGAAGTATTGCTTTAGAAACAATTCCGATGAAAATTACAGGAAGAGGACCAGAGTTAGCAGAGTTAACAACTGCTTCACTTCGTGAGTGGCTGTCAGTTAACCCCTTATCAAATTACATCAGAGAAAGAAACTTACCTTTTGGTTATCATTAACATATCTGTTTTATTGATCATGACATGGGTGAAATATTTGCATTTTGCAAATCTTCCATTTTCCATGACCTAAAAAAAATGAGAGAGAAAATCAGTAATTATTCCAATTGTAATGTAAGTAATCCCTTATGATCTTCTAAAGCTATTTCTCAATGGGGTTAAGTCATTAACATATTTACATAGTAAATACATCATCAGAAAACTGAATGTTCACAAAGTAATTGCTGCTTCCTTTTTAAAAGCACCTATCTGCACTGCTTTACTCAAGATTATTCAATTGCAAGCTATACCAATCTAATGCTGGATTTTTATAAGATATTGTTTCTACCTTACCGAATCTACATTGAGGCAGTAAGTTTAATATTAAACCATCATATTCATTTTATCTTGGGAAATATATTAGTATTTGATCACATCTGTACAAAAACACATGTAAACACATTAAACATGTATTACATAAATTACTATTAGCCTCTTCCCTGGAATTTCCATACTTGCCTTACAAATATGTTTTTCTTTGTCAATCTCACAACTCATTCAAAAATAAGGAACAAAGTATTTCTGGACAAAGAGGGAACCCCAGGACCTAATTAACCTACACAGTGGCCTTTAAGTATATTTTCAAGAATACACTTGAAACACTGTCTATCCACAACATTGTCAGCAATCCTCTGTCCCAGGATATATAAAGATAACTATATAAACAAGAGACTTAATCATTTTTAATTCTGCTTCTAAACACCACTGTTTTCTCTGAGGATGAAGTTACTTTGGCTATTTAAAATATATAATAGGCCAGACTACTATTTTTTAAAGACTAGCAATGTAATTGTGACTAAGAACCCTCAAAAAGAGGTATGTTGAGAATTTGGCCGAAATATTAGATCTCTTGAAGAAATCCCAAAAGATATAAAGATTTTAGAAAATTATGTTCCATGAAGCCATCTCTCTCTCTATATATAATTATTTAGCCTAGAAGAAAGGTAATGAGTGACTTCTTAATAATCTTGGTAGAGAAGCTGGATAGAATAGTCTTCATTTCTATTGGAGACAAGTTAAAACAAAAAAAACCAACGCCAACAGCAGGGGGAGGCGTACAAATTAATTGCATGGGAGAATTTTCTAACTTCAAAGATTATAATATTGAGGAAAGAGAATCTTTACTATTTCCTGCAGTAGGTAGGACAAGTAAACACAAATTTCTTGAATTATAAATGAAAAAGGGACATAACCACAGAGTTAGAAGAAATAAGAATTATTAGATAGCAAATTATGTAAATAAATTTGAAAACAGCTCGGTGTTGGTAGACTTTATATACAGACATATCATAGAAGGAATACAGATTCCAGAAACTGACCAAAATGCACATAGGACTTTATAAAATCCTATATATACAAATATAGGAATTTATGAAATCAAAACAGCATTTCAAATTCCTGAACAAAAGCGTGTATTATCCAAAGCTGGTGTTTCAGGCAGCCAGCTGGCTAAAATCCCTACCTCTCTCTATACCAAATTAATTCCACGTGGATCACTTACTTAAGTATGTAAATACTACTACGGGGGTACTAAAAACTAACATTTTAATAATCTTAAAGTGGGAAAGGCTTAAATATAGAATACAAAGTCCATAAAATTTAATGTAAAAAATTTCCTAAATACATGAAAATTAAATACTATTAAATGGCAAAATAATAAGCAAATAAACAGAAATAAAATAACACAAAAACCAAAGAATGTCTGGGAAACGTTTGTCAATACAGAGTTACAGAGCTAATTTCATAACAGGGAATTCTAGGAATATGAATAAACCAATATAAAAAAATGAGTAATAGGAGAATGTCTAAAATTTATGAACAGGTAGTTCAGCAAAACACAAACAAAATCTGACCCATAAATATATGAGAAAATCTTCAAGTTAATTCAAAATCAAAGAAAATGCAAATCAATTAAATGTACCCTTTGAGTCTACAATTCCACTGCCAGGATTTATCTTATGTAAAAGTATCTCAAGACATACATATAAAAATCTTCATGATAATATTGTGTTAAAAGCAAAAAATGTAAATTAATAAGGGACTATTTGAGTAAATTATAGTACAGCCATATAATGGGACAGGAGAAAGAAAAAGGTAGGCATGTATACAGACACAGAAAAATACGTTCTCTTGTGAAATTACTGAGAATGAATGGGGGAAACACATAAATGTATACTCACTTATATATGCACAGAAAATTTCTGGAGGGTTGGTAGTAACACACCAATCTGCTCATTGCACTTATCTCTGGGAGGTGGAAGTGAAGCTTTATTTTCAACTTTACATTCTTTTGTTTCAGTTTTGTGGTATTTGAAAAGAAGTTAGCTTAAAAGTACTTACTTTCTTTTGTTTTCTATGGCCAACTTTTAAAATCAAGACTACAAATGATCTCCAGAATATCAACTGCTACTGGAGTCAAGAGTCCCTATACCCCATTAATAGATCAAAACCTTTAAATAACTTAAAAGCTATGGTTGAACTCTAACCTCAGTATCCAGCTTCTATTTCAACATTGTTAAGTTTGGGCATTGCAGTTGAGCCTGTTTCTCATCGCTTTCCACTCTTCAGACCCAACTTAAATAAAATTTATCCTGTGCATATAAGCAATTAAACCAATTTCAATAGTCAGAATAGCATCTAGTATAAATAAAAGCTAAAAAAAAACACACACCAAAAAAGTCACTCATGTAATGTTTTTTGGAGTTCATAAAAAAAACATTAGCTACTACACTTGAAAAATGAATGGACATTGTAATCCAGTCTACTCTGAAAGATAAAACGAACTATACTCTGTTATCAGAATGAATATACAGGGTGTTCCCCTCCAAAAATGTATATATACTGTAAGAGCTTATAGCTCAATTTTGAAAATGAAATATATTTTAATAAACACTGCCTTTATAATTATTCAAAGTATGTGTATATATTTTGGGGGGACACCTTATATTTGAATAAATGTCAAAGATAACTCCTTATACAGGAAAATTTTGCTGGTCAGTCTCCATTACAAATGTGAATATGGAAGAACAGCACTATAAGCAGAAGCTAAAACTTGGGAACTAGATCGATCCCAGAGAAGCCTGGGAGAGATGGGAGAGAACGTGATACATCAGCCATCAGCTCCCGCCCTGCTGCAGAGTCTACAAACACCGGGCTTTGGTAACAATCTCCTGACTAAGTTCCTCACATACGGAGCTTTGTACTGCTTAGAATGTCATTATATATTATTTTATGGGAAACAAAACAATAGAATTTTCCACCTGAAGGAATGTTATTGTACATCCAAACCAGTCTCTTACTTTTACCCCTGCAGAAATCGAGGATTGTGGTTTTGTTTGTTTTCATATATCTTTATTGATTTCAGAGGGAGAAGGGGAGAGAGACAGAAACATCAGCGATGAGAGAGTCGTCAGTGATCGGCTGCCTCCTGCATGCCCCCTGACCGGGAATCGAACCGCAATCTCCTGGATCCTAGGCTGAGGCCCAACCCGAGCCACGCCGGCCAGGCCAGGTGAGAGCTTTATCCATCTAATCTTCACAACAACCTTGTGCAGTTCAGTTACATTACAGTTAACTGACTTGCTCGGGGTCATACTGTCAGTTGCAAAAGTGGGCTCAGAAAAGTGGTTTATTTCTAATTCCAGTGCTTTTCCCTGTACCATGAAGTCTCTTCTTATGATGTCAGTCATATGTTTCCCACGGTATCCCCAAAATACCTTCAGTATTCCTGGATGCTGGATTTGCTGAGGCAGTCTGCTAAAGCAGCTCAGGCTGGCTGTTTTTGTTTGTTTGAGGTTAAAAGAATCCAAATAGTTCAGTGTTAATATGCTACCTTTCTTCATCCCAAACACATGTTACGTATGAATGTCTCTACTAAAACAATTTGTGATGCCCTTTAAAATAAATGAACTAGCAAAACCAGGGCTAGGAATCACTATGTAGAGCCTTTGCATAAAGACCAAGATTTGGCTGAACTATCAAATGATTTGACTGAAGTATTTAGTACTAGCCAGTACTTTAGATATGTTAGCCTCATTTAACATGCTGTAATGTTAAAGAAAAAACAACCTTTTATTTATAAAAAGTATATATGAATTACCTATCATTGTTTAAGAATGTTCTTAAAAAAATAAACAGAGAAACACAAAGGTAAATGCATTCATTACATAGAGCTGCCAGAATCGGTAGATAACAATGAAAATGTATGGTTGTTGCTAAAAGAGTCCCTTTTGCATTAGAAAAGATGAGTATGCGAACCTTAGTTTATTAGATATAAGTAAATCCAAACCAAACTGATCACAAACTTAGAAACACACAGAAAGTAGAAACCTGAAAGACAGTGGTGTCAGGGTTACCCTCGGCTAATATCTGTATTTCCTGTCAAATATGTCCCAATACCTTAGAAGCAGAACACAAGCTAGAAAGTACCGTGCAGAAAACATAGCTAACTCTCAAATCATACAAATGCTATGAGGTAACAGGGTTCTGTAACAAAAATATTTCTGGGGGGGAAAAAGTAAAATATGAATAGGTACATATTAGGAACAAATCACTAACACGAAAGGCATGAAACCCCCCAAATTATCCAGTTGTCCCTCGGTATCCACAAGGGATTAGCTCTGGGGCTCCCCATCCCCACACACATCAATACCAAAATCTGGCAATGCTCAAATCCCTTATTTGGGCCTCCATATCTGTGGGTTCCACATCCTCAGATTCAATTTGATATGTGGTCAGTGGAACGAGCAGATATGAAGGGCTCACTCTAAAGTGCTAATATTAGTGGGAAATATATTTAATAAAATTGGATAAAGAAGAACACATAGTTTTGCTAAAAACAAAAACAAAATTTGATTACTATTTAAATTTTTTAAAGGTCATGGGAGCTAGAAGAAAAATGAAATTCATCTAGATGAAAGATAAAGAATGCTATCAAGCAAGAAAAACTGCTAGACAACAAATAAATGGTTTTATAGATTGGCTAATTTGAATATTCAGGAGATGATGGAAAAAGAGAAAAGGTTTAGGAA